AAGCTTAAATCAACACTTTCCTTTCAAGATCTGGAAAAAGTCATTCATGCTTTTATCACATCATGCCTGGATTATTGTAATTCATTATATGTTGGTCTTCCACAATCTCCATTGGCCCAGCTGCAGATGGTTCAGAACGCAGCAGCTAGATTGTTAACCGGCACCAAAAATCGCGAACATATTTCTTCAGTTTTAGTGTCCCTTCATTGGCTTTAAGATTTTACTTATTGTTTTCAAAGCTCTTAATGGACAAGCCCCATCTTATATTTCTGATCTTATTTATTTGCATTCAATGCCGAAGTCTCTCAGATCCGCTAATAAAGCTCTATTACATGTCCCTCGGTCACGACTTAAATTAAAAGGAGACAGAGCCTTTGCAGTTGCTGCTCCACGTTTGTAGAATCAGTTGCCACCTGACATTAGGAGTGCTTCTTCTGTTTCTATTTTCAAGTCCAGACTTAAGACACATTTTTACTCTATCGCCTTTCCGGGCTATTAATAGGGGTTATAAGCAACAGACTTCCGTATTCAGTTAACCGGGTCTTGTCGCTTCCGGTTCAAGCGTTTTGCATATGCTTGGTTAAATATGAAGCAGTTTTACTCAAGATGCCTTCAAAGTAGATACCAATGATGATCATAACCAATGTCCATCACATATGCGGACTGATATCTAAAAGTTTTTTTTTTTTTTAATTCTTTTCACATTTAGATGTAAAAATGTAAAACGTCAACAATAAAAACAGCTAGCTAGTTTAACTGATTATCTTAAAAGTCCATAGATATCGCTATTATTTAATACGGCTGTTAACACGTTCTCCGACAAGCGGAAGCGATGAGACCTGTTTTCCGGGTTTGGACAGGTGATGTTCGACATATACCCTATTGCAGTGTTTCCCAACCGGGGTGCCGTCTGTCGAGAGCAGGGGTGCAGTGTAAAAAATATTTTTTTAATATTTTTAAATTACTAAAATGTTCAAAAAAGCATCTATTATATAATATCCATTTCTGATGTTGCCAATAATTAGAGATGCACCAAAATTTCAGCTGCCGAAAATTAGTTCACCGCTCAAGATTCACTTTCACGTGGTGTGACGCTCTGCGTATTATCCGCTCTATGCATGTGCGCTCCGCTCAGTCGCTCCACTCGTATACCGTTCATGCGAATCGGAACAGCAAAGTCCACTCAAAAATTGAGCCGGCAGAAAACATCGATGTAGTACAGTATTGTTTCTGTCTGCAATAGCCCTACTGTGTTGGTGTGGTATATGGCAACTCTGGTAAGGCTGCCCTCTCATTCATTGATCTGCTAACCGTTATGCTCATGTGTTCTGATAATAACAGCTTTCTAGGACTAAACATTATTTGGATAATTGGTAAAAAAAAATATGTTAAATATCTTAACCCTACTGTTAGACCTACCTGAAAAACTAAAAAGCAATTTATTTAATTTGAAGGCCTGTCGTTATTTTTTAATTTGTGCTATCATTATTAATTTTTTTTATTTGTTCTTATTTTATTACTGACTGCTTACTTGTAATTTTTTATTCAATTCAAAGTTTGAAATCAAGCTATCTCATGCTACTGCACCAAAATTACCCCACTGTAAAATTAAAAAAACACTGAGTGAGCAAAAATTTGTGAGATAGCTAGTTATAATGGTAATTAAATAATGTTTACATATGTATAAAAGCCTACATTCAAATCTGTCCTATAAAATGGTCTCTTCGTAAGAAATTATCCTACTGATTGCCACCATTGATGGACAAAATGTTTTAATATTAAAAATCTGTATGACATTATATTCTGCAGTTCTTCCCTATTGTACCGAATATCTATACTTTTCAAATTATCATATCGAAGTTAGAAATTCAAATATTGTGACAATTTATTTTGTAGGGTGCCACAAGTTTGTTAAAATTTCCAAAGGGTGCAGCGACTAAAAAAAGGTTGGGAAACACTGCCCTATTGAATGAGAAACTGTTGTTATTGCCAATATTAAAAATAGTTTATTATTGTTTTTTAAATTTTACTTTATTTTTGAATTTACTGTATTTTATTATTGGTTTTGTTCAGCACTTTGGTCAGTGTAACGCTGATTTTTAAATGTGCTCTATAAATAAAACTTACTATATAATTTGACATTTGAGGCTTAATACTATAGAAAGGTTTTTCAGTTAGAGTGTTTTCAGCTTGTTTATTTTCATATAAAAATACGGCATGCAGTTGCATCAAACAATGGTATAAACATCAGTCAATGTAAATTGTGATAATCGAAATTAATAATCGCAATTACAATTTCAAGGGAATAATCGACAATTATGATTTTTGTCATAATCGTGCCGCCCTAGTGTGTGTGTGTGTGTGTTTAGAAATAAACCAAAAAAAAAATGGGGGAAAAATACATGTCAGTCAAATACAACTATGAACCCATTTCTACAGTCCATGACATACCTCTCACAGGGTGAGAAATCAATGAGCTGAACCCCCTGATGACTGAACCTCTGGATCTGCTTGAACTTCTCACCGCCCCAGAGAGCGATGCCTCTCTGATGGAATGTGGCCAGATAGGTGCCTTTTGGAGACCAGCGAACATATGTTTCGGTCCAGCGCTACAAGCAAAACGTAACAAAAAGATACTGAATACAGTATGCATGGCCACATGGTTATTATATTCTAAAGATGAACAGATGAACTCACCGCTCTCTCCTCTATTTCAATAGGCTCCTTGACATCATTAGCAAATATGCCTGTTCTTTCACCAGAGTCATAGATTACGCTGTACTGATCACGACAGTCAGGATCCTCCAGCCAGTGACGCAGATTCCCCTGAAACCAAAAGACCAAATGTCAAATGAATAAACAAATTGAAAAGTATGTTACAGTATTGCAAGGTTGGATTACACACAATCAGAACAAACTACTCACGAAATCTTTAAAGGGCTGCTTCTCAGGAGCTTCCCACTCATCACAGATTGACATGTACCTACAGAGATGAGAAATGTTTTATTAGAGCCAAAGAATAATACATCAGTCGATATTTAGCATTTTGTTAATTATCGCACCGGCTAAATTTTTGGCCAATAAGCATCACAACATCACAACATAAAATAAATTGAATTGCAGTTCAATAGTATGATATCATCTATATCAGCATCCGTGCTTTCTAAAATATTGGCATCAGCAGCAGCAATCAACAAATGCATATCGGCCGACCACTATTTTAGATCTAATCAATCATTCGCAAATGCTGTCACAATTACAGCACAGTTAAGGACAACATACTTGTCAAAGTCTGTGAACAGGTTGACACGGAAAGTATGCTGCTTGTCCAGCTTGTAGCCATCAGCGTTCTTCACAGCTTCATGAGCATGACTTGGTGCAGAATACTCCAGGAAAATGTACCTGGGAAAATGAAGCACATTGATAACTCAAAGAATAGCAGAATGCTATCATGTTTTTCCATTTCAGGGATCATATTAATCAGTATTAACATATATAATAGGTTACAAAAGCACTATTATCCAAGCATCAATTTCTAATATTCAACACATTTTTAATGGTAGGCTAAACAATGTAAAGTATGTGACCCTGGAGCACAAAACCAGTCGAAGTCGCACAGATATATTTGTAGCAATAGTCACACAAAAATACATTGTATGGGTCAAAATGATTGATTTTCCTTTTATGCTAAAAAAAGGATATCATAAAATCATTAGGATATTAAGTAAAGATCATGTTCCATGAAGATATTTTGTAAATTTCCTACCATAAATATATCAAAACTTAATTTTTGATTAGTAATATGCATTGCCAAGAACTTCATTTGGGCAACTTTAAAGGCGATTTTCTTATTATTTAGATTTTTTTTTTTTTTTTTGCACCCTTAGATTCCTGATTTTCAAATAGTTGTATCTCGGCCAAATATTGTCCTATCCTAACAATCCATACATCAATGGAAAGCTTATGTATTCAGCTTTCAGGTGATGGATAAACCTCAAATTTCGAAAAATTGACCCTTATGACTGGTTTTGTGGTCCAGGGTCACGTATCAGTCATAAAAAAAAATGATTGGCAAATTGTCAACGATGGTGCATCCCTACTTCCCATAGCAAGCCAACCAAAAATTACCCCTTGGTCTTTCCATCTGCGTCTGGATAGAATTCATTGGTGATTTTGCCAAACTTTGAGAAGATCTTCTGGATGACGTTCTTGAGTTTCTCCAGACGTTCTGGCCCAACCTGAGGGACATTATCCACCACAACGACCGAGTCGATGCCGTCTGCCTCCTGAGGTTTATCCCGGAGAACATCCCCCAGCAGCTCTGCGTACGAGGAAAACACCCAACAGAAGCCACATCAGCATCTACAAAAATACATTGTATGGGTCAAAATGATTGATTTTCCTTTTATGCTAAAAAAAAGGATATCATAAAATCATTAGGATATTTAGTAAAGATCATGTTCCATGAAGATATTTTGTAAATTTCCTACCATAAATATATCAAAACTTAATTTTTGATTAGTAATATGCATTGCCAAGAACTTCATTTGGGCAACTTTAAAGGCGATTTTCTTATTATTTAGATTTTTTTTTTTTTTTTGTACCCTTAGATTCCTGATTTTCAAATAGTTGTATCTCGGCCAAATATTGTCCTATCCTAACAATCCATACATCAATGGAAAGCTTATGTATTCAGCTTTCAGGTGATGGATAAACCTCAAATTTCGAAAAATTGACCCTTATGACTGGTTTTGTGGTCCAGGGTCACGTATCAGTCATAAAAAAAAATGATTGGCAAATTGTCAACGATGGTGCATCCCTACTTCCCATAGCAAGCCAACCAAAAATTACCCCTTGGTCTTTCCATCTGCGTCTGGATAGAATTCATTGGTGATTTTGCCAAACTTTGAGAAGATCTTCTGGATGACGTTCTTGAGTTTCTCCAGACGTTCTGGCCCAACCTGAGGGACATTATCCACCACAACGACCGAGTCGATGCCGTCTGCCTCCTGAGGTTTATCCCGGAGAACATCCCCCAGCAGCTCTGCGTACGAGGAAAACACCCAACAGAAGCCACATCAGCATCTTAAACATGCCATGGTTATCCAGATGTTACAGCGCCGCACTTAACTTTGTATAATTCAAGAGCAAAGCCGCTGCTGTGACGCGCGCGACTATTTCCCTAAAGCTGCTTTTGTCCCGCTAGCGCGCATGCTCAACTGAAAAACGGAAGCGTTAACTGGAATAAACTGCGTTTAATCTAAAACAAAGCAGTTAAGCGCTATCATATGTTACTAAACAATGAACCCGAAGGGTGTTGGTGTTAGTCTCGGGCTGACATGTTGAGCTTTAGGGTCAAGTGTGTGGCTCGCGCCCCGTTAGCAGGCGGGCTAAAGCGCAGGCCTCTCTTAACGTTAACGTTACCCTCATCACTGTCATCCACGAAATCCTCCGGATCACTGAACGAAGGCTCTTCTCCGTCCTCATACTCCATCTCTGCCTCCATGTTCTCCGTATCTCGCATTTAGAGATCGATTCCTGTCAGTCTGGGCTTGTGAAAAGGCGGTGGTGAACTTCACAGCATTAATCCAGAGATTTTACTCACTCGGCCATGTGCAAAGCAGCCGGCGCCAACCACTGCGAGCGAGAGAAGGACCGTACCATGTGTGCGGAGAGCGGGTGAGGGCTCTTACAGAGCGTTTTAGTATTCATGTACAACACAGACTTAAGCGCAAGATGGGGGGTTAATTTAAAATAACAGCATATCTATTTATAATGGTATTCATGTGGTCCGAATGCGCTGAATGTGTCATTTTACTGTAAAATATGGAATGATTGACCCCTTTTATCATCAACATGGTCTTTCCCTTTGCTTATCTCCCTGTACTTCCTGTTCATCTGACAAGTTCCTCCAGTCCGAATATGCGTTATTATTGACTACTAGGCCTTTAGTATGCAAAAGCGATAGATAGATAGATAGATAGATAGATAGATAGATAGATAGATAGATAGATATTCAGTAGGTGTAATGTATTGTAAGTTGCTTCAGAGGTATTGCAAGTATTACATACAACAATAATAAAACAGAGCATTGACACAAAAAAAGGACATTTAGCTTTGGTACTTAAGTACTTTTAAAAGCAAGTACTTCTGTACTTTTACTCAAGTAAAAATCTGTCTTTCCAACTTTTACTTGTAATGAAGTAATATTTGACCAGCAGTATCTGTACTTTCACTCAAGTAATGGAGTTGAGTACTTTGTCCGCCTCTGCTTATGACTGATGTTGTGGTCCAGGGTCACATTTTTGCCTGTGACAAATACATCAACTTGGTTTGAATGTTATTTTAGAGTGGGATGAATTTAATTAATTTAGCAAAATCTCAGAGGCTTGTTTGTGTACCCCAGTCTTCTCCTTTTATACCATTGTACCCCATTTTGGATAACTGTACAATTGTACCTATACCCGCTGATCTTTGATGGTAAATGAGTGTAATATACAGATGTGTGGTACACGTTGTGAGTTTTTTCCAGTGACATAACATTCAAATTCACCGGAAGGGTGAAGCCTGGTAATGATCTGGAAATGAGACCCTTTAATCTTCGGGGCGGCTGGGAACATTACAAGAGAGTAATTTTTCAAATACATCCTCAGGGCATGACTGCAATACACAGTTTATGTCTAGTAAATGATTTAGTTCATTACTAAAACCTATAAGAAGCTATTTTGTTTGGATGTTTTCCAGCTGATTACACTGATTGACAATGACCTGTGGCAGTCCTACAGAAACACAAGGAAACTATTAAACACAATAGGAGACTGTTTTGCATTGAATAAGCACAGTGGTGTATAACGGAAATGATTGTACTCTTTTCATCCAGTAAATGAACTGCGGACCTAAACCACAGTTCAACATCTAATGAATTATATATTCACGTCTGTGTGAAACGAACTGCTGTTCCAAATATGTATAGGCTATGTAAAGTTACACTTGTATAACCTCCTCAAAAGGCCTTAATAATAATCAATTGAATGCATCCCTGCTGAATGAAAGTATTAATTTCATATAAATAAATAAACCCAATGAATGGCCAATTATTCTTCTGCAAGCAAAAGCAATGAACTTGATATTGGACATCATTTTCTTTATAATCTTTATAGATCAAAAATGAAAATGAATCAAATATAAGAATCGTATTTTTTTATTATTTGTTTCTTTTTTGTTTCTTTTTCCTCTAGCAATGTTTAATTCCATGTTCTAAAGGAGATTTTCAAAACGTTGTCTTTTAAGTAGACAAACGCTTCTTTACAAGTAACCAGTAGGGGGCGCTCTTGTTGCAAGGAGTTTGAAGTTCATATTAGTTTGTCTTCTGTTAGTGAGAGATTTCCCAGTCATGCAAGAGTCAGGTGATTTGTTCTGTCTGGACAAACTCTGGCCATCTGCACAATGATTGGTGTCCTTCTAGCTATGTTTTTGCGGCTGCGATTAGATTACTAACAGTAAAGTTCCCGTAGGCACATCTTTTCCAGCTAATGTCAGAGCTGACATTTTCTTTCACTCCTTAATACTGGAAAAATCACTGTTGGATGTGTATTTGAAAGCCCATCACAGGCCTAGCAGGCAGATTAAAGTAAAGGGCATACTGAAACATTGTTAAACAGTCTGGCAATGACTGCTGCCCTTATTTATTACTAAATATCAGCATTCAATTTTGAAGTGCAATGAAAGGCAGCCTGGAGGGAAAAAATGTAAGTATAACACAAGTCATGAGTTTTACCTCACGCAAATAAGCCATGGTCGGCCCAGAAAAGGCACTTTGTGTGCTTAGACATTATCTTCTTCCTTGAGCCGAGGATTTGTCAAGGGTTACATGGGGAATATTTGTTTAGATGTGTCTTACCATAATAGGACCTCTTTGTTCATAGTCAAACATGAGCTCCCTCACAGGAAAGAAACCGTTCTCAGCAACTCTTATATGACAATAAAGCCTAAAATAGCTGGCTACAAAGATGGGTGGCGTTTTGAAAAAGATGCATCTACGCTTGAAGTTAAAATTGTACTTACTGAGCACAGGCCCCAGTTGGGGGTAACACTTCCTCTGCCACTTAACTCTTGCATAACCTCTGTTTATTTGTCTTAGTTTGAACTTGCTCCCAAAGCCATGTGTAGGAAATGCACAGTGTGGAGACAGTTCGGTTTTTCATATATGGGAAAACAGCAGATTTAAACTTTACACACAAATAAGACACCAGAAAGCTAATAGTAATAAGATACAGAAACAACATTAATGTCAGATAATCTATTCTCTAATATACAAAGGCTATTGGCGTAGTTGGGATGTGACCCAAAAATTAGTCATATCCTATCTCACCACAGATAAAATGTAAATAATGAAATGCAGCTCTGGTCATATATGTCAAAGGCTGATTGTCCAGTCAAACTGAGGTAAATTCATCTGTCACATTGCCTATGATTCATTTTAAAACGTTTTGATTTTGTTTTGTTTGATCAATAATTTTGGGGTTGTCGTAAAATGACATTCATCTTCCTGTTTTTGTTATCAGTAATGTACATCTGTGTTACATTTTTCTGTTATTTAGTAAATGTTTATTGTATTATTTTTCACATCAGCTGTGTTGGTCTTTGTATCAACAATCCTGTGCGTCATCCATATATATGAGTATTGGTCACTTACAATTAACTCGGATTCATCTTGTGGATTTCTATTGTACAGTCTGCATTATCATGGTGATGTTAAAAGCAGATTTTGAATGGTATATTAATATATCTTTTATATACAGGCACTATATGCCATCCCATAATTTTTTTTTTTTACTGTTAATATCTGGCAACCACAGCAGCCTGTATTATTTTTTACAGTAAATTAAACAGCATATTTTTAAAGTGCATATTCAGTTGCAATATGCAGTTGTATAGGAACAAGGCCATGATTCATCTTGTGGATTTCTATTGTACAGTCTGCATTATCATGGTGATGTTAAAAGCAGATTTTGAATGGTATATTAATATATCTTTTATATACAGGCACTATATGCCATCCCATAATTTTTTTTTTACTGTTAATATCTGGCAACCACAGCAGCCTGTATTATTTTTTACAGTAAATTAAACAGCATATTTTTAAAGTGCATATTCAGTTGCAATATGCAGTTGTATAGGAACAAGGCCAAAAGTATAACTCAACATTTTATTGTATTTATACAGGTCTTATATACAAAGCACACATAATGAAGTTAAAATCTGGAATTTCACACTTTTTACAATCTCTGGATACATACAACTTTAGGGAAGCAAAATCTGAAAGTTGAAAAAAGTACAGTAAAACACTGAAAGAGTGTTGAAGTAGACATCCTGTTAACAGGGACACTCATGAGATCCTAAAAGGGACAAAACACCAGAGCAGCAAATGTAACGTAAATACTGTAGTTAAATCACCTTCAGTAGATTGAAATCACAACTGGAAATAGTTTCTTTGATTATTATTCACCAAATATAATTTATATCAAATTAATTACGCGCCATATGCTTATCTTGATTGCAGGTTTTAATAGCCTTCATACTGTGTCTGTGTTTCTTTTCCGCTATTTAACTTTCAAACTCTCCCAATGGATTTATGGTCTTAAAAGAGGAAACAAGGACAAACACAGCCTTGAATTAAAGAATCCAATCGGCTTCTTTATGTGCACAAGAGGAGCCAGAGATCTTCCAGTAAATGCATGTGTTTTGCTCCCACTGGGAAGAGCTGTCAGGGACAAAGGTTTAGGGTGTGTCCAATATCTCAAATCAAATCCCTTCCTGCCAACTTTCAGTAAGCCAACATGGCACTGCAGTGATTATGAGGAAGGACATCATTTAAATACCTTTAGGGCACAGAGAGACATTGTCAATGCTGTTTTGCAAGAAATGAGTCACAGTTTCCACTGTAGTCCACAAACAAGAAAAAATGCAAGAAAATGGCTTGATGCTTTTGTTAAAACTTGAAAACTATTTGATAGCTTATCTCAAGCTTTCCCTTAACACAAAACAATGGCAAAAACAAAATTCTGACAAGTGGACACCTGCACTGAAATCGAAACCGCTGGTCCTCCGAGGAGACTGTGAGTCAGCGACTACTTCTGATGACAAAACCAGATCTCTGGAAAATTGATCAAACTATGCCACCTCCCACAACAAATACTTCTTAGCATTGGCAGACATCCCCAGGAAGTCACTTCACACCCCGTTCATGAAGTAGTTCAAAAGAATAAAACACAACATGGGTGCAACAAATTGGGGGCTCGTCCGGGATCGCAACTCCAGCTAAAACCAAAAGCCCACAGCTGTTCACAGCTGACATTCATCAAGATCCAGAGAATAAAACTCAGTCCCCGAACAACCATCGGGTTGACTCCCTCTGAAATCTCCTTATAAAATCATAAACTACACAGGTTACATACATTTCGAGAGGATTAACATCATATGAATACTCATAAAGTACATATGCTGTGCAATAATGACATTTAAAGAATACCATTAATGCATTATTTAAGTTAGTGGTGTTAGGCATAACCAGTGATTTGACCTTACTCTATACTTCAAAGCTTGTAGCTTAACTCGAAGAGACACATAAAAGCAGAAGAGACAGTTAACATGTACAAAAGCTGTTATTCACTCT